AGGCTCACCTAAAAAGGAAAAAAAAATCACGCCACTAGGTGGCACTCTGTTGGCAGGGTAAATCACTGTGCGGATACTGTAATAGTTATGAATATGAAATTCACAGGGCACGTGTAGAGTGGTGCCTGAAGCTCACATACCAAAAATCGGGTTTGTCGTGCTTGTAGCGCCCCCTACAGGATAAAAAAACATCAGCCCCGGCGCCACGTTTCACCGATATGTACGAAACTCAATAGGCATGTATAATGTGCCGGGGCGTACAAAAAAGCCTCTTGGACCCATACCTCAAATCCCACAGGAAGTCGGCTATTTTCATTTAAAATTTGCACTTTTGGCAGCCATTTTGTGGTCATTTTGACTCTTTGGGCTTGTTTTAGAACTAACTGCTCCTAGGGAATTTATCGGATCTGCTTCAAAATTGGTCAGTACAGTCAAAACATGGTGCTGAATGAACGCATTATATTTGGTGACTGTACGTTGAAGGGCGTGTCCGTGGCGTGCCCTCAAAGTTGGCCATTTAGAACAAATGTCACACTGTGATGTCATTTTTGCATTTCAGGGCTTCTATTTGAATGATGCCCTCCTACAGCTTCTATCGGATCTTCTTCAAAATTGGGCAGTCCAGTCACAACATGGTGCTGAATGAACGCATTATATTTTGTGACTGTACGTTGAAGGGCGTGTCCGTGGCGTGCCCTCAAAGTTGGCCATTTTGAACAAATGTCACACTGTGATGTCATTTTGGCCTTTCAGGGCTTCTATTTGAATGATCCTCCTGCTACAGGTTCTAACGGATCTTCTTCAAAATTGGGCAGTACAGTTTTTAGTCACAACATGGTGCTGAATGAACGCATTTCATTTTGTGACTGTACGTTGAAGGGCGTGTCCGTGGCGTGCCGTCAAAGTTGGCCATTTTGAAGCCCGTGGTCCTGTATTTGAACAAACAAACTCCTTGAGACTTTATCAGATCTGCTTCAAAACTTGACAGTACTCTTGAATAATCTTGCTGATTACAAGTTGTGCTATTTATGACTGTACGTTGAAGGGCGTGTCCCAGGTGTCTCGTCAAAGTTGGACATTTTGAATTCTGTGGTCTTTTTTTTCAAAGTGATGAAACACAAACACCCCTCCGCTCCCACTAGCCACATCTACAAACCATATTTCCTAGGGAGTATTGTTCGTGGAGCATAGTGTGAAACCGCTGGAAGTCACTTATTAAATTGCAAGATAAATAGGGGACTTATCAAATCGACTTCAAAATTGGACAGTCTTATAAAAACAAAGTGTACATGAAGAATTGAGCTATTTGTGACTGTACGTCAAACTGCGTGCCACTGACCCCTTGTCGAATTCAGATGATTTTCCATTAAGCGGTACTCATAACTTCAGTGTGCAATGTCCAATTTCCAATAAACTTCATATATTCTGTAACAGTCTCGCCCTGAACACGTCCTCATTGCATCAGCCTACGTATTACAGTCCCGCCCTGAACTTGTCTACGTGACAAGATTCAGATAAAGTGAAAGCACAGCATACTGGCAACAGGAAGGAAGCGCTGCGTGGCGATACGGAGCTGATTTGGAGCAGATTTACGTGACGTATTCGCGTTGCGGTCCGCGCTTGTTACGACGGCACGTGGCGTGGCCTCGGCGCACCCCGACCGCACGTGACGCGTTTGCGGCGCGCCCCGACGAGCGCCGGGTGCGAGGTCCCGCCCAACGCTGCTTGCAGCTTTAATTAGGGACCGAGCCAGTATGAACTGGAAGGTCCATATTGTTTTTCCTATGTTTATTCTTCTATTATTATTATTTTTCAGAACATTGAGCGCATTTTTCACCCCCTTAAACAATTATAATATTCGCATTTTATTTGGCACGTTTGTCAAGCCTCATTTAAATTGGAGATTCTATGCGTCACATGCAGGTCAGCCACTAGGAAGGCCACTAGGTGGCGCTATTTGTAGGCCAATTTCGATACGCTAATAACTCCCGCATAGTTTGTCTCACATTCAAAAACCTTATATCCACGCGTTCGGTGAATGGAGCTGAACCTCCCCATATAGGCCACGCCCACTTCCGCCTAGATTTTTTTTTTTCTAGAGCGCAAAATGTCCATAAATGTCTGTTTCGTGTTCCTCCTACACACTTTGTCCGATTCGCACGAAATTTTGCACGTAGCATCTGTGGACCGTCCTGACAACAAAAGTAATTTGAACATTTTTGATATTTTAAAAAATAAGGAAGTTATAAAATTAGCACTTCCTGTTGATTTTTCGTCAAAAAAGGAAGTGGGGTATTTCTCCACATTGGTATGTCCGATTTACACCAACCTTGGGTCCATAGTTCCCCATGTCTTCCTTAAGCATCGTGCACAATTTCAGGTCATCACCACAAGGTGGCGCTCTTTAAAATGAAGGAGTTTATAGCTCTACAACGGTATGTGTGATTAAGATGAAACTTGGTACGCTGCTTCCCCATGGCTCCCTGAGGCTCACCTAAAAAGGACAAAAAAATCACGCCACTAGGTGGTGCTCTTTTGGCATGATAAATCACTCGTGGAACTGTAATAGTTATGAATATGAAATTCACAGGGCACGTGTAGAGTGGTGCCTGAAGCTCACATACCAAAAATCGTGTTTGTCCTGCTTGTAGCGCCCCCTACAGGATAAAAAAACATCAGCCCCGGCGCCACGTTTCACCGATATGTACGAAACTCAATAGGCATGTATAATGTGCCGGGGCGTACAAAAAAGCCTCTTGGACCCATACCTCAAATCCCACAGGAAGTCGGCTATTTTCATTTAAAATTTGCACTTTTGGCAGCCATTTTGTGGTCATTTTGACTCTTTGGGCTTGTTTTAGAACTAACTGCTCCTAGGGAATTTATCAGATCTGCTTCAAAATTGGTCAGTACAGTCAAAACATGGTGCTGAATGAACGCATTATATTTGGTGACTGTACGTTGAAGGGCGTGTCCGTGGCGTGCCCTCAAAGTTGGCCATTTAGAACAAATGTCACACTGTGATGTCATTTTTGCATTTCAGGGCTTCTATTTGAATGATGCCCTCCTACAGCTTCTATCGGATCTTCTTCAAAATTGGGCAGTCCAGTCACAACATGGTGCTGAATGAACGCATTATATTTTGTGACTGTAAAGTTGAAGGGCGTGTCCGTGGCGTGCCCTCAAAGTTGGCCATTTTGAACAAATGTCACACTGTGATGTCATTTTGGCCTTTCAGGGCTTCTATTTGAATGATCTCCTCCTACAGGTTCTAACGGATCTTCTTCAAAATTGGGCAGTACAGTCACAACATGGTGCTGAATGAACACATTTCATTTTGTGACTGTACGTTGAAGGGCGTGTCCGTGGCGTGCCGTCAAAGGTGGCCATTTTGAAGCCCGTGGTCTTGTATTTGAACAAACAAACTCCTTGAGACTTGATCAGATCTGCTTCAAAACTTGACAGTACTCTTGAATAATCTTGCTGATTACAAGTTGTGCTATTTATGACTGTACGTTGAAGGGCGTGTCCCAGGTGTCTCGTCAAAGTTGGACATTTTGAATTCTGTGGTCTTTTTTTCAAAGTGATGAAACACAAACACCCCTCCGCTCCCACTAGCCACATCTACAAACCATATTTCCTAGGGAGTATTGTTCGTGGAGCATAGTGTGAAACCGCTGGAAGTCACTTATTAAATTGCAAGATAAATAGGGGACTTATCAAATCGACTTCAAAATTGGACAGTCTTATAAAAACAAAGTGTACATGAAGAATTGAGCTATTTGTGACTGTACGTCAAACTGCGTGCCACTGACCCCTTGTCGAATTCAGATGATTTTCCATTAAGCGGTACTCATAACTTCAGTGTGCAATGTCCAATTTCCAATAAACTTCATATATTCTGTAACAGTCTCGCCCTGAACGCGTCCTCATAACATCAGCCTACGTATTACAGTCCCGCCCTGAACTTGTCTACGTGACAAGATTCAGATAAAGTGAAAGCACAGCATACTGGCAACAGGAAGGAAGCGCTGCGTGGCGATACGGAGCTGATTTGGAGCAGATTTACGTGACGGATTCGCGTTGCGGTCCGCGCTTGTTACGACGGCACGTGGCGTGGCCTCGGCGCACCCCGACCGCACGTGACGCGTTTGCGGCGCGCCCCGACGAGCGCCGGGTGCGAGGTCCCGCCCAACGCTGCTTGCAGCTTTAATTAGGGACCGAGCCAGTATGAACTGGAAGGTCTCTATTGTTTTTCCTTCGTTTATTATTATTATTATTATTATTTTTCAGAACTTTGAGCGCATTTTTCACCCCCTTAACAATTCTAATATTCGCATTTTATTTGGCACATTTGTCAAGCCTCATTTAAATTGGAGATTCTATGCGTCACATGCAGGTCAGCCACTAGGAAGGCCACTAGGTGGCGCTATTTGTAGGCCAATTTCGATACGCTAATAACTCCCGCATAGTTTGTCTCACATTCAAAAACCTTATATCCACGCGTTCGGTGAATGGAGCTGAACCTCCCCATATAGGCCACGCCCACTTCCGCCTAGATTTTTTTTTTTTTAGAGCGCAAAATGTCCATAAATGACTTTTTCGTGTTCCTCCTACACACTTTGTCCGATGCGCACGAAACTTTGCACGTTTCATCTGTGGACCGTCCTGACAACAAAAGTAATTTGAAGAATTTTGATATTATAAAACATAAGGAAGTTATAAAATTAGCACTTCCTGTTGATTTTTCGTCAAAAAAGGAAGTGGGGTATTTCTCCACATTGGTATGTCCGATTTACACCAACCTTGGGTCCATAGTTCCCCATGTCTTCCTTAAGCATCGTGCACAATTTCAGGTCATCACCACAAGGTGGCGCTCTTTAAAATGAAGGAGTTTATAGCTCTACAACGGTATGTGTGATTAAGATGAAACTTGGTACGCTGCTTCCCCATGGCTCCCTGAGGCTCACCTAAAAAGGACAAAAAAATAACGCCACTAGGTGGTGCTCTTTTGGCATGATAAATCACTCGTAATAGTTATGAATATGAAATTCACAGGGTACGTGTAGAGTGGTGCCTGAAGCTCACATACCAAAAATCCTGTTTGTCCTGCTTGTAGCGCCCCCTACAGGATAAAAAAACATCAGCCCCGGCGCCACGTTTCACCGACATGTACGAAACTCAATAGGCATGTATAATGTGCCGGGGCGTACAAAAAAGCCTCTTGGACCCATACCTCAAATCCCACAGGAAGTCGGCTATTTTCATTTAAAATTTGCACTTTTGGCGGCCATTTTGTGGTCATTTTGACTCTTTGGGCTTGTTTTAGAACTAACTGCTCCTAGGGAATTTATCAGATCTGCTTCAAAATTGGTCAGTACAGTCAAAACATGGTGCTGAATGAACGCATTATATTTTGTGACTGTACGTTGAAGGGCGTGTCCGTGGCGTGCCCTCAAAGTTGGCCATTTAGAACAAATGTCACTGTGATGTCATTTTTGCATTTCAGGGCTTCTATTTGAATGATCCCCTCCTACAGCTTCTATCGGATCTTCTTCAAAATTGGGCAGTCCAGTCACAACATGGGGCTGAATGAACGCAAATTATTTGGTGACTGTACGTTGAAGGGCGTGTCCGTGGCGTGCCCTCAAAGTTGGCCATTTAGAACAAATGTCACACTGTGATGTCATTTTGGCCTTTCAGGGCTTCTATTTGAATGATTTCCTCTGACACGTTCTAACGGATCTTCTTCAAAATTGGGCAGTACAGTCACAACGTGGTGCTGAATGAAAGCATTATATTTTGTGACTGTACGTTGAAGGGCGTGTCCGTGGCGTGCCCTCAAAGTTGGCCATTTAGAACAAATGTCACACTGTGATGTCATTTTGGCCTTTCAGGGCTTCTATTTGAATGATCTCCTCTGACACGTTCTAACGGATCTTCTTCAAAATTGGGCAGTACAGTCACAACATGGTGCTGAATGAACGCATTTCATTTTGTGACTGTACGTTGAAGGGCGTGTCCGTGGCCTGCCGTCAAAGTTGGCCATTTTGAAGCCCGTGGTCCTGTATTTGAACAAACAAACTCCTTGAGACTTTATCAGATCTGCTTCAAAACTTGACAGTACTCTTGAATAATCTTGCTGATTACAAGTTGTGCTATTTATGACTGTACGTTGAAGGGCGTGTCCCAGGTGTCTCGTCAAAGTTGGACATTTTGAATTCTGTGGTCTTTTTTTCAAAGTGATGAAACACAAACACCCCTCCGCTCCCACTAGCCACATCTACAAACCATATTTCCTAGGGAGTATTGTTCGTGGAGCATAGTGGGAAACCGCTGGAAGTCACTTATTAAATTGCAAGATAAATAGGGGACTTATCAAATCGACTTCAAAATTGGACAGTCTTATAAAAACAAAGTGTACATGAAGAATTGAGCTATTTGTGACTGTACGTCAAACTGCGTGCCACTGACCCCTTGTCGAATTCAGATGATTTTCCATTAAGCGGTACTCATAACTTCAGTGTGCAATGTCCAATTTCCAATAAACTTCATATATTCTGTAACAGTCTCGCCCTGAACACGTCCTCATAACATCAGCCTACGTATTACAGTCCCGCCCTGAACTTGTCTACGTGACAAGATTCAGATAAAGTGAAAGCACAGCATACTGGCAACAGGAAGGAAGCGCTGCGTGGCGATACGGAGCTGATTTGGAGCAGATTTACGTGACGTATTCGCGTTGCGGTCCGCGCTTGTTACGACGGCACGTGCGTGGCCTCGGCGCACCCCGACCGCACGTGACGCGTTTGCGGCGCGCCCCGACGAGCGCCGGGTGCGAGGTCCCGCCCAACGCTGCTTGCAGCTTTAATTATAAAATCATTTTTTTTTATTATTATTATTATTATTTTTTTAGAGAGCTTTGAGCGCATTTTTCACCCCCTTAACAATTAAAATATTCGCATTTTATTTGGCACATTTGTCAAGCCTCATTTAAATTGGAGATTCTATGCGTCACATGCAGGTCAGCCACTAGGAAGGCCACTAGGTGGCGCTATTTGTAGGCCAATTTCGATACGCTAATAACTCCCGCATAGTTTGTCTCACATTCAAAAACCTTATATCCACGCGTTCGGTGAATGGAGCTGAACCTCCCCATATAGGCCACGCCCACTTCCGCCATGATTTTTTTTTTTCTAGAGCGCAAAATGTCCATAAATGACTGTTTCGTGTTCCTCCTACACACTTTGTCCGATGCGCACGAAATTTTGCACGTTTCATCTGTGGACCGTCCTGACAACAAAAGTAATTTGAAGAATTTTGATATTATAAAAAATAAGGAAGTTATACAATTAGCACTTCCTGTTGATTTTTCGTCAAAAAAGGAAGTGGGGTATTTCTCCACATTGGTATGTCCGATTTACACCAACCTTGGGTCCATAGTTCCCCATGTCTTCCTTAAGCATCGTGCACAATTTCAGGTCATCACCACAAGGTGGCGCTCTTTAAAATGAAGGAGTTTATAGCTCTACAACGGTATGTGTGATTAAGATGAAACTTGGTACGCTGCTTCCCCATGGCTCCCTGAGGCTCACCTAAAAAGGACAAAAAAATACGCCACTAGGTGGTGCTCTTTTGGCATGATAAATCACTCGTAATAGTTATGAATATGAAATTCACAGGGTACGTGTAGAGTGGTGCCTGAAGCTCACATACCAAAAATCCTGTTTGTCCTGCTTGTAGCGCCCCCTACAGGATAAAAAAACATCAGCCCCGGCGCCACGTTTCACCGACATGTACGAAACTCAATAGGCATGTATAATGTGCCGGGGCGTACAAAAAAGCCTCTTGGACCCATACCTCAAATCCCACAGGAAGTCGGCTATTTTCATTTAAAATTTGCACTTTTGGCGGCCATTTTGTGGTCATTTTGACTCTTTGGGCTTGTTTTAGAACTAACTGCTCCTAGGGAATTTATCAGATCTGCTTCAAAATTGGTCAGTACAGTCAAAACATGGTGCTGAATGAACGCCTTATATTTTGTGACTGTACGTTGAAGGGCGTGTCCGTGGCGTGCCCTCAAAGTTGGCCATTTAGAACAAATGTCACTGTGATGTCATTTTTGCATTTCAGGGCTTTTATTTGAATGATCCCCTCCTACAGCTTCTATCGGATCTTCTTCAAAATTGGGCAGTCCAGTCACAACATGGGGCTGAATGAACGCAATATATTTGGTGACTGTACGTTGAAGGGTGTGTCCGTGGCGTGCCCTCAAAGTTGGCCACTTAGAACAAATGTCACACTGTGATGTCATTTTGGCATTTAAGGGCTTCTATTTGAATGATCACCTCCTACAGGTTCTCACGGATCTTCTTCAAAATTGGGCAGTCCAGTCACAACGTGGTGCTGAATGAAAGCATTATATTTTGTGACTGTACGTTGAAGGGCGTGTCCGTGGTGTGCCCTCAAAGTTGGCCATTTAGAACAAATGTCACACTGTGATGTCATTTTGGCCTTTCAGGGCTTCTATTTGAATGATCTCCTCCTACACGTTCTAACGGATCTTCTTCAAAATTGGGCAGTACAGTCACAACATGGTGCTGAATGAACACATTTAATTTTGTGACTGTACATTGAAGGGCATGTCCGTGGCCTGCCGTCAAAGTTGGCCATTTTAAAGCCCGTGGTCCTGTATTTGAACAAACAAACTCCTTGAGAATTTATCAGATCTGCTTCAAAACTTGACAGTACTCTTGAATAATCTTGCTGATTACAAGTTGTGCTATTTATGACTGTACGTTGAAGGGCGTGTCCCAGGTGTCTCGTCAAAGTTGGACATTTTGAATTCTGTGGTCTTTTTTTTCAAAGTGATGAAACACAAACACCCCTCCGCTCCCACTAGCCACATCTACAAACCATATTTCCTAGGGAGTATTGTTCGTGGAGCATAGTGGGAAACCGCTGGAAGTCACTTATTAAATTGCAAGATAAATAGGGGACTTATCAAATCGACTTCAAAATTGGACAGTCTTATAAAAACAAAGTGTACATGAAGAATTGAGCTATTTGTGACTGTACGTCAAACTGCGTGCCACTGACCCCTTGTCGAATTCAGATGATTTTCCATTAAGCGGTACTCATAACTTCAGTGTGCAATGTCCAATTTCCAATAAACTTCATATATTCTGTAACAGTCTCGCCCTGAACGCGTCCTCATAACATCAGCCTACGTATTACAGTCCCGCCCTGAACTTGTCTACGTGACAAGATTCAGATAAAGTGAAAGCACAGCATACTGGCAACAGGAAGGAAGCGCTGCGTGGCGATACGGAGCTGATTTGGAGCAGATTTACGTGACGTATTCGCGTTGCGGTCCGCGCTTGTTACGACGGCACGTGCGTGGCCTCGGCGCACCCCGACCGCACGTGACGCGTTTGCGGCGCGCCCCGACGAGCGCCGGGTGCGAGGTCCCGCCCAACGCTGCTTGCAGCTTTAATTAGGGACCGAGCCAGTTCACTGAACTGGAAGGTCTCTATTGTTTTTCCTATGTTTATTATTATTATTATTATTTTTTCAGAACTTTGAGCGCATTTTTCACCCCCTTAACAATTATAATATTCGCATTTTATTTGGCACATTTGTCAAGCCTCATTTAAACTCGGAGATTCTATGCGTCACATGCAGATCAGCCACTAGGTAGGCCACTAGGTGGCGCTATTTAAAAAAGATTTTGAAAGGCTAATAACTCCCGCATAGTTTGTCTCACATTCAAAAACCTTATATCCACGCGTTCGGTGAATGGAGCTGAACCTCCCCATATAGGCCACGCCCACTTCCGCCTAGATTTTTTTTTTTCTAGAGCGCAAAATGTCCATAAATGACTTTTTGGTGTTCATCCTACAGACTTTGTCCGATTCGCACGAAATTTTGCACGTAGCATCTGTGGACCGCCCTGACAACAAAAGTAATTTGAAGAATTTTGATATTTTAAAAAATAAGGGAGTTATAAAATTAGCACTTCCTGTTGATTTTTCGTCAAAAAAGGAAGTGGGGTATTTCTCCACATTGGTATGTCCGATTTACACCAAGCTTGGGTCCATAGTTCCCCATGTCTTCCTTAGGCATCGTGCACAATTTCAGGTCATCACCACAAGGTGGCGCTCTTTAAAATGAAGGAGTTTATATCTCTACAACGGTATGTGTGATTAAGATGAAACTTGGTACGCTGCTTCCCCATGGCTCCCTGAGGCTCCCCTAAAAAGGAAAAAAAATCACGCCACTAGGTGGCACTCTGGTGGCAGGGTAAATCACTGTGCACACACCATAATAGTTATGAATATGAAATTCACTGGGCACGTGTAGAGTGGTGCCTGAAGCTCACATACCAAAAATCGGGTTTGTCGTGCTTGTAGCGCCCCCTACAGGATAAAAAAACATCAGCCCCGGCGCCACGTTTCACCGATATGTACGAAACTCAATAGGCATGTATAATGTGCCGGGGCGTACAAAAAAGCCTCTTGGACCCATACCTCAAATCCCACAGGAAGTCGGCTATTTTCATTTAAAATTTGCACTTTTGGCAGCCATTTTGTGGTCATTTTGACCTTTTGGGCTTCTTTGTGAACTAACTGATCCTAGGGAATTTATCGGATCTGCTTCAAAATTGGTCAGTACAGTCAAAACATGGTGCTGAATGAACGCATTATATTTGGTGACTGTACGTTGAAGGGCGTGTCCGTGGCGTGCCCTCAAAGTTGGCCATTTAGAACAAATGTCACACTGTGATGTCATTTTGGCATTTCAGGGCTTCTATTTGAATGATGCCCTCCTACAGCTTCTATCGGATCTTCTTCAAAATTGGGCAGTCCAGTCACAACATGGTGCTGAATGAACGCATTATATTTTGTGACTGTACGTTGAAGGGCGTGTCCGTGGCGTGCCCTCAAAGTTGGCCATTTTGAACAAATGTCACACTGTGATGTCATTTTGGCCTTTCAGGGCTTCTATTTGAATGATCTCCTAATACAGGTTCTATCGGATCTTCTTCAAAATTGGGCAGTACAGTCACAACATGGTGCTGAATGAACGCATTTCATTTTGTGACTGTACGTTGAAGGGCGTGTCCGTGGCGTGCCCTCAAAGTTGGCCATTTAGAACAAATGTCACACTGTGATGTCATTTTGGCCTTTCAGG